CCACCCGAACCCTTGTTATGGCTCCATGAACCATGAGAAGCTAGACGTTGTGAACCCATCCTGATGTCCATCTCTGATGCAGAATCAAGAAAAGCAAGCATCTTGAGAGCCCTGTAGTAATACATCATTCCCCTCACAGTACGGGATAAAGTCTGCCCCCTGTACGATGCCCAAAGACGGAGATCCCTTGCCTTTTTTGACCAGATTTCACTGTCATCCTCCATGCCCTCTCTACGCATCCGCTCCATGAAATTCTTCCACTCATCTTCATAGATCTTCTGCAGATAAAACAGGGTGGAAATTCCATCTTCATTCTCACTTCGAAGCCCTTCTTTTGCATACAACACTTCTTCATCATAATAAGGGGTCAGAACACAGAAGGCCAGCATTTTCTCAACATAAGGTGCACGAGGCATGTTCATAAACAGTGAATTGCTAAAGAAAGCAAGACGCCGTCTTGCCTCAATATTCACAGGCACATTGTGCATTGAATCTCTTGAAGAAAGAATTGTATGCAAACGTCGTAGCTGCCTATAGAAGAAAGCATCTTCAGCATCAGGAAACCTTACAGCATTTTCAAAGAGCAATCCACCGTCAGTGGTCGAGGCTGACCTAAGAGAGGCCAGACCTTCCTGCCGAAGTTGATCAACAGTCCGCTTCACCTTAGGGAATTCTCGTACAGAAAGTTCATATAAGGCCTGCAACACATTCACAGCCTTACTAAGATCCTTTTTTGGTTTCATCAAAAGCTCAACAAGCGATATCAATTTAGCATGAATTTGTGGTAGGACTGCCATCTTGTATGTATCAGTGAACTTCTCAACCTGCATGTAGTTTTCCATCTCTGTGAAATTTTTTTTAATAATTTTATGCTCTTCTGTACCATAATCCACAACTGTGAGAAGCAAATGCTTGATGCTATCATAAGCTTCAATGACAGCGCACCGCCTGTACTCACTCTTGCATATCTTCAACCAAAGCCACCGATCAGGTGCATCAGCCAGCTCAGTTGCCTGACTGAGAGCTAGCAGCAGCTCATTGCAGAGGAGGGTACATGGCCATCGAAGAACCCTAATATCCCAACAATTAGTAGACAGTTCCAAGAGCTCAAGCTCTTTATCACTGATAAGATCTTCCTCCCTGAATGTCAATATTATCTCATTCCAAATTAGGGCAAACCGGGTAGCTTCCACTTGGCTTGATTCAATCTTGCTGTAGGCCAGACCAAGTCCATATCGCAGCTTCAATCGGTGAATTGCATCACGAAGCTTCTTCACCAATGTTGCCTTTGGACCTAAGAGCTCCTCTTCAGGCATTAGGTTAAACTGCATGGCACTAGCAAAGAACTGAAACCTAAGCCTTAGCTGCTCAATATTCCTAATCTCACCCAAATGTGAGAACAACCCAATTGTTGCACCAACAACGGATGAAAATACTGAATACCAAATTTGTAGATCCATTAAATAAATCAAAATAACCGGAAGCCACAACAAAACTACTCCTAGTCTGTTTGTGCTACCAAAAAACTCGTGCCAATGGTACTCCACATTCTTTACCTTCAAAAGTGACTGGGTTGGGCCAACAAGGGGCTTGATCTGAAGAAAATAACTAAATGAAAACTTTGAGAGCAATACTATAATCCAAAACAGTGAATACTTAATATTGTTAATCAGGCCTTCCCTCAGTCCACGACCCACAAAAATTCTAGTATGAAACCACCATGTCAACAAGTACACAAGTGGCCAATCCAACTCCTCTATCCAATTCCTTATCCAAGGCAAAACAAAAAGCACAAGTGACATTAACTCTGGTATAACAAATACAAACACAGCCTCAAGAAAATCCACAACCTTCCTATTCGCCTCATATGACCACCTCCTATCAGCATTCTTTTGACTCCAAATCCTCCCATATAGAACTCCGAAAACAATAGTCCATGTCAAAGCAACAAGAGTTTTCAACACCATCCTCACACAAAGCCATGCTGTCTCCCTTGAAACCAAACTGTACTGAGTCCCGGCATCAAGTATTGACTGCAAAAATCTAAGTCCACTCCAAGTGATAAAAAGAGTCAATAACTCCACCTGAACATCGCGCGATTCCAATGCTTGCCATGGATAATCGGTACCTGACCAAGCAACAATAATAGAAGCCTGAAAAAACAATATCAACAAAACCCAAAGCTTGTCAAAACTCCTAAACACATTCCAAAACGATCTTTGCTCCACAAACCCTGTCTTCCCCACTCTACTAGCCTTACTAACCGTATGGTCCATATAAAGAAAATTACTCCCAGTATTAATAGGCCATTTCAGCCCCTTAAAGCATCTCCTACTCCAAAAATACTCATTTATATCATCATAATTCCTCCAAGCTGAGTGTGGCGCCGTCCCATTCCTACTAATCTCCACCTCAGTCTTAATAGTTTGATAAATTGGCGTAACCACATACTTCAAAAACGCATAGTCCCCAGAATAAGTAGGTAAAAATGGCTGACCAGTATTCTCATCAGGTTTTTCATCAAGAAAATAGTTCAATTCCATAGCCATATGATGATAAATGTAACAAATACATTCGGGCACGAAACGTAAATTTGCTGACTCACCCCAAATTAACAAGAAAAGCGAAATATAAAGCAGCTCTCTCCGGAGATTCTTTTCATCTCGGCGACTCGAAAGATGGATTTGTGACTTACGTCCCAAGAACGAGCACCACGAACTGTAGTTGTGGAGCAATTTCCGGCGGAACCTCCTGAGGACATTCGGGTCCAGCAGGCCCGGAGACGCAGAAGCTGACTGGAGACGCATTTGAGCGTTGGCCAAGTGAAGCACAAGGTGCTCCCTCTGGTTCCTTACGTTGTCGTTCTGGAAACCGAACAAGGAACCTAGCCAGTCCATAAGGTCCATGTTCGGGGGAAGAACCATGAATCGCGGTTTCCGAAGGTCAACCACGTCACGTAACGCCGCCGCCACGACACGCACCTCCGGGTATCTTAGAGATGGATGTTCAACTAAGAAGTCGTGGATTGGGATTATGTTGTAGACGGATGGCATTGGTGGAGGAACTGGCGGCGGCGGCGGCGGCGGCGGTGGCGGAGGCATGGCGTGCAGACCATCCCAGCCGCGCGTGGGGTATCCACGTTGTCTTAAGTCCATGGCCAGAGCTTCGTGAGTGACAATATGTTTGCAACCAGAGTGGGTTTGTTTACATTTTCAGGATTGTAGCTTGTAATGAGGAAGAAAGAAAGATGACTTTTGTGACGGGTTTTAAAGAATTGAAGTAAAAAGCACTTCGGTATCTGGATATTACACGTTTGCAAAGCACTTCGTTTTTCGGATACTACACGAAAGAGTAACTGATTAGTCTCAATATTGATGAGTTTGGGTTCAAAATCTGAAAATGTTGTCCTTTTCGTCACGCGCGTTTTAGGGATGTGGAATTCACGCCCTCCTCAATCAGTAAGATAGAAAGTAATAGCGCCCCACCCAACCGCATCCGGATCCCACCAAAAGCAAAAAACAGCAACCATGTTGACAGCATGATTCTAGTATCTCGTGAAACGACGTCGTATAAATGTTGTAAGGCAACGGGCAACCAATAGGGTTTATTGTTGTAAGTAAGGATGAAACACGAATCGGGTAGTTCGAGAGCTACTTGAGCTCGCCTCATCAAAAGCTCAAACTCGACTCGGAGCCAGTCGAGTCGAGCTCAAGCTCAAGTGGCTCGTGAAGGGGATCGAGTCGAGTTAGATCCAGGCAAAGCTCGGCTCGTCAGGTTCGCGAGCTTCAACGAGCTCGAAGGGCCAATTCGCAAGAGTTTAAACTTTATTTTATTTTCAAGTTGTAAAAATGACAAACAACACCCATTCACACTCTAGACATAAACTCAAATCAATTTTGGATTTTTCATTGTGAAGTGAACCTTAAGTCCCTAACATCGGAAATCAAATCTCTCCCCCATGCCGTTGCCGATGACGACTCCACCATTGCCATACACCGTCACGGTCGTCTCCACTCTCCAATCGCTTCCTTAGCTTTAAAATACCCAAACATCTCATGCACAACTCAAAACCATTTTCGTAAATCAGTCACGCCGCTGTAGCCAACGACTTCTCCACTACCATTCACTGTCACCGTCATCTCCATCATGCTAAAGCTCCTGATCTTGACCCACGTCCGGTTGTTAAGTGAGTTTAAATGCATTTGTTAATTTTTTTTTAAAGTTGCAGTTTTGGTTTTGCATTATGTTTGTGTTGGAGTTGAAAGTTTGGATTTTGGATGCTTTTTCATTGTTATGTCATTTTGGATGATTTTGGTTGCAGACTTGCAATTTTAGTTTGTTTGGTTTTGCGTCATCTTTGTGTTGGAGTTGAAAGTTTGGGCTTAGGGGGAAATTATAAGTCTATTTATTTAGTGTAATATACTTGGCTGGTTTAGATTTGGAAAAATCAATTTTGCATTAGTCATTGAATTTTTTAATTGGAAACAATCGAGGTTCCTATCAGTCACGTTACACTCACATTATTCTTGTACTTTAATAGGTTGAAATGCATTCAATTAAATATATAGTTGCTTGATTTTTATATTTCATACAAATTCTAATAGTTGCTTTATTCTTCCATTATAGGTATGGAAGGCTCATCTAGTAGTTGACCCATGTTGATTGACTCAAGTTCACCAGTTCAAACCCCAACAAGTACTCCGGATCCAACTGTAAGTGCAACTTGTGGTACTAGTCCGACTATTCAACAAGAAAATGATGATGTTGATAACCCATTCCAAAGGAAGAAAAGAGCTAAGACATCTCTTGTATGGGCAGAATTTAAAGAGGTTTTTCAACCCGACAATACAAAGAAAGCAGAATGCATCCATTGTAAGGCCAAATTGTCCATTAATGCAACTGGAAGCACTACACAATTTGCTAGACGTTTGAAGGGGTGTTTAAGGTGAAGGGTTTTTAATAATCAACAACAACAGTTGAACTTTCCAACTTCAAATGCAATGGCGACAAGTAGTTCGCTGCCTCCTCTTATAGGTGGGAAGTTTGAGATGGCTTGGATAGTAGCACAATGGGTGCTTATGTATAAGCACCCATTCAAAGTTGTCGAGCAAGAGGGTTTTAATAATTTGCTAAAATATGGGAAGCCTAGTTGGGAAAAAATATCACTTTTCACAAGAAAAAATGATTGTCATAAGGTGTATGAAATGGAAAAGAAGAGGTTGAAGGCTGTTTTAAAGAATATTGATAGAATTAGTTTGACTACTGATCTTTGGAATTCTAGTAATCAGAAACTTGAGTACATGGTGTGACAGGGCATTGGATACATAGGCTTCGTTTGGCTGGTTTTTGGGAATACTACTTTTAGTATTCCCAAAAAAGTTAAAAAGTAAACTACCCAAAAACTCACAATATTATTCAACTTTCTTTAAACCCCTTAAATTTGTTAATTTAATTAAATACCCCTAAATATTTTTTTTTTTAAATTGCAAAAACACCCCAACAATCCACATTTACCAGATTCCAGCCACCATTGCCGGAAAATGGCCGGAATCTGGTAGGATGGCGCACTACCGGCTGAATTTGGCCGGTAGTGAGCTGATCTAGCCTTTTTCGGTCAGATCCATGGTGGATCTAGCTGGAAAAGGCCAAAGATCTGGCCGTTGACGGCCAGATCTTTGGCCGTAACCAGTCAATAACAACGGCCAACAAACGGTCGTCGTTGACCATCAACGACGACCGTTTGTTGGCCGTCATTGGCGAGCAAATACGGCCAGATCTAGCCGTCAATGGCCAGATCTAGCCGTAGATATGGCCTTTGTCGGTGGATCTGGCCAAAAAAGGCCATATCGACGCACGACCGGCAAGATCCAGTCGGTGATACACCGATACGACGACTCCGGCCACCCTCTGGCAGTGGTGGCCGGCTGTCTGTATTTGAGGGTGGGTTGAGAGTGTTTTTGTTAACTTTTAATGTTTTATTATAGGGGTGTTTCGTAAAAAAACAAACATAGGGGGTATTTTATTAATTTATAAATCCTACATCGTAATACTCACCCAATTCAACTTCTTTTTAACTTTTTCAAAAAACTTTTCCCAAAAACACAAAATTGTGAACCAAACAGAGCCATACTAGTTGGAGGTTGAACAAAGGTGTAATCAATTTTGTTCGTTTATCACCTTCTTGCGGTGGTGTCTAGATTGCTGATAGCATGTTTAATTGCTTGCGAGAATGGGGAATTGAGAACAAAATCTTCATGATATCAGTTGATAATGCATCCACTAATGACATGGCAATCAAGGTTTTGAAGGAAAACTTTTCTGTAACCAAGAAGCTTCTTTGTGGGGGGAAAGTTGTTTCATGTTAGGTGTTAGCCCACATATTAAATATAATGGTGCAAAATGGTCTTAATTAGATTAGGCACATTATCAAAGACGTTCATGATAGTGTCTACTACATCAATCAATTGGAGAGTAGACTAAAAATCTTTTCAGAAATTGTGTAGCAATTGCAGTTGCCTCATAGAAAATTGATATTGGATTTTAAAACGAGGTGGAACTCAACTTATAAGATGTTGGCAACTGCATTAAAATTCCAAAGGGTGTTTCCAAGATACATTCAAAGAGACCAGCATTTCACTTCTTGTCCCCTTGATGAAGATTGGGATAAAATAGAGAGAGTTTGTGAAATTTTGAAGGTTTCCAATGTTGCAACTAACATCATTTCAGGGTCTGAATATCCAACATCAAATAGATTTCTTGCCGAGCTTTGTAAGGTGAAAGTTTTGTTGGATAAACATGCTAAGGATGAAAATGAATTTGTGAGGACCATGGTGAGGAAGATGAAAGGGAAATTTGATAAATATTGGGGGGAGTGCAATTTGTTGATATCTATAGCTGCTGTTCTGGACCCTAGGTGCAAAATGAGAGTGTTGGACTATGTTTTCCCCAAGATTTATGGTAATCTTGAAGCATGGGCTCATTCTACAACAGTTCGGGATGTCTTGTACAAGTTGTACAGGGAATATGTGGTCGAAAGTCAATCATCTATCGTTCGACATATGCCTACACCTGGGCAGGTAAGGGGGAGTGGGAGTGGGAGTGGGAGTGGGAGTAGGAGTGGGAAGAATGCGAATGCTGACTCTTCTGGTTGGTCAAATTTAATGAATTATGTGGGCATAATTGAAACTATTGCCCCAGAAAAATCGGAGTTAGATTCCTATTTGGAAGACCCATGTTATAAGTGTGAGGTGGATCATGAGGCGTTCGATGCTTTAAAGTGGTGGCAAACAAACAGTTTGAAATATTCAGTGTTATGTAAGGTGGCTCATGATATAGTTGTCGTTCCTATTACCACGGTGGCTTCAGAGGCTACATTTAGTGTCGGAAGTAGAGTTATTGACAATTACCGATCTTGATTATCTCCGAATACAATGCAAGCACTGCTATTTGGAGGTGATTAGTGACGCAATCTCCTCGGACTAAAGAAGATTGACGAAGTAAGTTCAATTAATCCTTAATTATTAATGTTTTATGTCTCGTTTATTTAGAATATAGTTTTCTTTTACTCTAACCTTAAACTTTCTAATTTTTTTCCTATATGTGTTTTAGACAAATGAGGAACCATTAGAGATTATCCTTCCTATCTCTTCATCTGAAGGGATTGAGTTTCATTTGACCCTCCAACATAGCTTCGCGGGTTTGTAAATAAATAGCTTTTTTTAGTGCTTCACCTGTCATTAAAGGTTTTATTAGTTTATTGATTTGTTTGATTTAATGGTGAATTACAAACATTTGACTTGCAAACTATTTGCTTCCTTTGTATTTATACTTTGCATTTACAATATTTGCAGGTGAGAGGCCTGGCTTTTGGGTGGCTTTTGTGCCTTTCTTCTACTTTGGGTGGCTTTGAGATTTTCTCTCCTAGTGTTCTCGGATTTTGTTGTCCCAAAGTCTATATTTCTTGCTTTAGTTTTCTGCTCTTTTGTCTTTGTATATAGCCTCTATGGAGTATACTTTTGTGTCTGTACATAGCTTCATAGAGTGTACTTTTGTGTTTGTATATACCTTCATAGAGTGTATTGTCTAGTGTCTACCCTTTTGTAGTTGTACACTTGTGTTTGTGCAAGAAATGCATATTACATATGTACATCCAACAAATATATCAAACAATTATAATGCTTATTTCATCCAAGAACTTTCAACTTGTCATTTCATTGTTGTTTTGGAAGATTGTTGGTGTTGGAAATGGAAGATTGTGTTGAATTATGGGAGAGTTTTGCCTTTAAATTTGTAGCTTCTTTCTGGTTCATGAGTAGCCATCGAGCTCGAGCTCGAGCTCTAGTGCACCTTATGACTCGCGAGCTCGAGCTCGAATACTAATATTGAAGCTCGACCAAGCTCAACTTGAACTCGAGCTCGTCACTGTTCATCATGAACCAAGCTCGAGTATCGGGATAATCGGCTCGGCTCAGCTCGGCTCGCATACATCCTTAGTTGTAAGAAAGGTAAACATAAGTGCGAGGGGTAGGTACTAACTTTTTAATATTTGAAAATTCTAAAAATTATTTTTTAAAAACAATAAAATATTTCTACGAATGAGTCGTGAAGGGTAAAAACTAGTCGATAATAATATGGCAATAATACTAGATGTACAAAGAAATTTTACAAAGATTTATGTACAAAGTGATGTAGCAAGAAATAAATGGAAGAGTAAATATGATGAGTTTGACTTTTTGTGTTCACTCTTCCATTTATTTCTTGCCACCTCACTTTGTACATAAATCTCACTTTGTATATAAATCTTTGTAAAATTTATTTGTACATGTAGCATTACTCAATTATATGATGGAGAGGTAGGGTTTTGTCAATTGAGTTGAGTTGTAACGGTAACGGAACAAGAAAGCGGCAAGGAAGGGTTGAGAAGAGTTACTTAAAACGGTCGTTTTGGGTATGGGCTGATTTAAACGAAAGAATCTGTGTGGAGAATATTTTGTCAAATTTGTGGTAAGGGAATTTGATTATTAAATTGGTGTTTAAATAGAAGCATGCATGTGTTAATGTGGTGAGCTGTCTTCTAAATTAACGTTTTGGAGGGCGAAGCATATGGTCATGTCGGGGATATCCATCCATGGGTTTATTCAGGATATACTCTTTTACTTCATCATCCAAGTGATGATTGATGATTTTACGACCAATTAGTGGCGACATAATTATGAACTTCGGGCTTTCCATGGGCTGGGCCCTGGTCAGAAGCTTTAATGTTGCTGTGTATTTAATGCTACCTTCAATTGTCATTCTCATTCTCATTAATGGTACTTATATTGAGATGAAAGCATGATTTTATTACCAATGATTTGACAAGTATATGCGGTAATATATCCCAACACTTGCCCTAAATGGACTTCCATTGAATCATTGATCTAGTGAATAACTCCATAAAATAAATAGATGGAAGATACAAGTAAAAAGAGAAAGAAACTAATTCTAAGCATCTATCATGAGTTTACTAATCAATTGATCGATCTCTTTGTATGTGTTGTCAATAAAGAAGAGAACTCAATTATCATTCGTTTATCCATAAAGGAGAGGACACAATAGATGTGTCATCTTTTTTCACTATTCTAATATTAATGGAAGTATTAAATTATGCGGTGCATATTTTGTGTTAATATTGTATTGTTATAAAAAAGAAAAACTTAATTATTTGATATATGTTATAGTATTTGACGGATAAAATCAATTATATATTATGTTTGACTGTCATATCTAGAACTTTTTTTTTGGAGGGGGGGTTGTTCTCTTAGAAAGCAATTAGTCCATTTCCATTTCAATCAAATGTGAACTAACACAAAGAGTAAAACAAGAATACCAAATATTTCAATTTCGATCAAAGGTCAACTAATATGAAAATTAAAATGGGAAAACAAGAGATTTACTAATATCCTTGAGCAGAGATTTCTAGTGGCTCAAGATTAGACATTTCTTTTGTGCGCAAAGATTTCTTTCATACTGAGATCAAAAGTTTCTTTCGTGCAAAGATTTTCTTGACTTAAGGTTTTGATTTATCTTACGGAGATTGGAGATTTCTTTGACTTAGGAGAGTGTAAGTTTTCTATTGATGTTTTGAACTTTGTTTTAAAACCTGGATCGGAGAGCAATCTGTTTTGCTGCCCGGGTCACGGGTCAACTGGTCCAACCGATTGGACCGATGACGTCAGCGACAATTTTATTTTTAAAAAATTACATGTTAATCCCTTAAATTTTAATATATAACAAAAATTTCCCTAAAAAGTTCAAATTAGTCCCTAAAATTTTTATTTATTTCAAAAAATACCCCAAAAAATTACTAACTAATCCCTACACTTTTGACATATCTCCAAAACACCCTTATAAAATTTATTAACCCTTATAATTTTGAAATATTATAAAAACCCCCCTAAGACCTGAACCGGACCGGAGAAGCTGCTGAGTCCCGGTCGAACCGGTCCGATTTTTAAAACAGAGGTTTTGAATCGAGGGAGTGTGCGTTTTCTATCGATTTTATATCCTCTTTTGGGTGGGTGTTGTTTTATGATTGACCACTTTTGACTTAAGATTATGGTGAATGGCCATTTGATTTAAGTTTTATACATAGACTTCATAACACTTTTCCCCCTAAGGTATTTAATCCTCTTAAGGTTTTAAAATAATAAAAATTTCTCTGCCTTTAAATCTTAAGTGTTAAAAAAGGTAAGTGGGAAATTGGTAATATGTTATTAAATCCAATAATGTAAGTTTTAATAGCTCACCAACGTAGGAGGATATTGGAGATTGTGTTATTTTAGAAACCCCATGGGATTCTTACTATTTATACTTTTATATTACTTCATAATATTTTTTCCCTGAGGCATGATTAAATAAGTAATAACAAACTCCCCTGTAGTTTCTAGAATAATATAAATTCCCTTGCTGTTAAATTTTAAATGTGTTTGTAAAAAAAAAAAAAAAAAAAAAAAAGATAAAAGGACAATCTAATAATATTCATTACATACTAACAATGTATGTTCTAATAGCTCATTGGCAGGGGGATTATGGGGGATTCTGGTTATTTTAGAAACCTCAAGGAGATTTTCATTATTACGCCTCACTAATAATAAGATATTTGTTGGGGATTGTTTTTATTTTATAAAGCCCAAAGAGATTTTGTTATTACGTCAAACCTCAAGGATCTATGTTTAACTCTTGTTGGGCTTGAGCTTGACTTCACTCTTTAAGACTTTAACCTTAATTTAGTTTCAGATTCAACACCCAACATGTGTGTTTTCTACTTGGCTATTTTTTAATTGACCAATTTTAACTTTATGATTATTTTTTATGTTAATTTTTATTCAAGGCAACAGGTTAATTTTAACTATAATATAAAGAAACATTTAATACAGTGTGTTACCTGCAACTAACGGTATTTATCACCAGTAATCCAAACATGAACATGAGCCACCTTTAAAATGGTGGAAACGAAGCTTATCCCGAACAATAATTTCTCTGTTAGTAATAACTGAAATGAACTTAATGGCTGAATGACAGTCCTCGCACATTCTAAGGTTCTTCACAATCCTAATAGTCATACCATGGCTGCTTCTCAGTAATCCAAATGCAATTGCTAGCTTCTCACTGTGATATCTAAGTGCATACTCCCTCTCCTCTTCCTCCACTTCATGCATCACCCATTCAGATTCTGGAACATAACCAGCTTCCCTACATCTACTCATCAACTCATCTAAGTACTGAAAAATTTCATGTGTGTCTGGGTGGGATTTGTCTCCCATGCTAAATAAGTAGGTCCTTTGATCAACCTCTATTGTGCTATATCCAACCTGCTTTTTTAAGCTTTTCCGAATCATTATGTTTCTAACCATTTCTACATGATCCATCCTACCAGCCAATGCATATATATTTGATAACATTACATAGTGGCCTGGATTTTCTGGTTCCACCGATAAGAGATGCTCTGCAACTTCCACTCCCATATCAAAATTCTTATGCATCTTGCAAGCTCCAAGCATGGCAGTCCAAACTGCCGGAGCTGGCCTCTCACGAATCACTTCTTTGATGAATACATATGCTTCATTGAGCAATCCGGCACGCCCAAACATATCAACCATACAAACATGATGTTCCACTACTGGCATCAATCCATACTCTTGCCTCATACTTTTGAATATCTGACGCCCTTCATGAACCAGTCCAGCATGAGCACAGGCTGATAATACAGCAACAAATGTGACACTGTTAGGCCTTCTACCATGAACTCTCATTTGATGAAAGAGCTCAACTGCTTGAGTACCATAACCATGCATTCCATACCCAGAAATAATTGCAGTCCAAGCAACAACATTTATTTCTGTCATCGAATCAAAAACCTCTCGCGCTTTACCAA